GCTTTATAAGTGATGACTAGCGCCTTGAAGTGTATCCGGAGACCAATAGGCAGCCAGTGCAGCTCATTTCTGCCCTCCCCAGCCCCCAGGAGCACTCTGAAAGCCTCCTAAAAGCTATGCACGGCCATTTTGGTGAAGGGGGCGGGGTTTCAGAAAGCAAAAAATTCTGTATTCAGTGTATAAGACCCACCCAGATGTTCAGCCTCTTTTGACGGAAAATGGTGTGTCTTATACTCCAAAAAATACGGTACTTTGTCTGTGAATTTTATATTGCTGAGTTCTAACATGCAGTTATTTTAATGATATCTTGGCTGAATGTTTTCCTAATATTTAATTTTATTTAATTCTATTAGTTTTCATTATTCTATTTTTGAATTGAGCTTTTTATGTATTTTAAAAAGGTTTAATCTGCATATTTTAAATTAATAGAAAATATGAATCAAAATGAATTAAAGCAAATATCACATTTTAGATGTAAAATAGCGTAATACTTTGGAAAAACAGTTATCCTAATTTTTTTTTGCAAAAAATACTCTACTCTTATTTTTTTAAAGAAATAAACAAGAATAAAGAAATCAATTATGTATGTATCAATGTATATTTAAGTAAAAAAGAAGATACAATTATCAATAGGGCTACCTATTTCTATACAATCTTTCCAACAGTTACAGTCCTCTCAGGGTCACCTTTGTAGGCTTTTGCCAGAAATATAATATTAATAGTAAATACAACTTTTTTGTGGCATACTCCATCTGTTGTCTTACTACAATTTAGGAGGGTCTTAAAATGTACTTTTAAACTCAAATTTTAACACTTTAAGCATTTTAGTTTTAATGTCATTTTAAAATTTTAAGGGAATTTAGAATTGTATTTATGTATTCTTAAAAGTTACCCAGAACAATGGATACTTATAGAATAAGTACAATAAATTATTGCATAAATTATCAATGCATCTATAAGAATGTAATTCATGTTAGTAAATAAACAAATTGGATCTTTTAAGATTTTTGTTCTCCGTACCTTCAGCCAAGGATGATTAAGTGCCTCATAAACAGTTATTCTCTCAGCTGGGTCAAGCATTAGCATGCGCCGAACTAGATCTTTGGCACTTTCAGATATATGGCTCCACTGTCTGGGATTCATCTAAGTAAAAAAAAAAAAGATATTTAAAACTAGGCACAATGGTGAGATTTTTGCACAATTTTTATTGTAGGCAAATTATTTTCACAATGTTTAATAAACAAAGAAAAAACTACATCAGGTATTTCATGTTTGAACTTTATATAGCAACAATAGGTTGAAGTTAAAACCACAGAAGTTAAATGTCATTTAAAATAATAATTTACTTGTAGATCAAATGACACATATTTTAAACAGAACAAGAAATCACTGCAATGTCTGATTAGAACATTAATCAAGATGTAATAAAATAGTGTCATTCCTTGATATACCAGGTTTGTGAGCACAACAATTTCCTGATTTCCACCGAAGATAATATGATAATTCATATTACTGAATTTGGATCATTTACTAAGTTAATACATTTTGGTGAAATTAAACTAATACAGAAGGTTAGCAAGTAATTAATTGATAAAATTTGCTGGTTTTGCAAAAATGGTTTACAATTTCTTTACAGAAAGTGAAATATGCAAACATATATAATACAATACAATAGCAGAGTTGAAGGGACCTTGGAGGTCTTCTAGTTCAACCCCCTGCCTAGGCAGGAAACCCTATACCATTTCAGACAAATGGCTATCCAATATCTTCTTAAAAGACTTCCAGTGTTGGGGCATTCACAACTTCTGGAGGCAAGCTGTTCTACTGATTAATTGTTCTGTCAGGAAATTCCTCCTCAGTTCTAAGTTGCTTCTCTCCTTGATTAATTTCACCTATTACTTCTTGTTTTACACTCGGGTGCCCTGAAGAATAGTTTGACTCCCTCTTCTTTGTGGCAACCCCTGAGATATTGGAACACTGCTATCATGTCTCCCCTAGTCCTTCTTTTCATCTCCATGTTCATTTTGACTTTGGTTTAACATTAAACCTAGTTTTAAATTTACTATTTTCTGTTTA